CCACAAATGCTGCCAGACCTGCTGAGCTTTTCCAGCAACTTTGTTTTTGTTGAGATTGAAGCGTTATTCCGTTTAACTATTCGGGCATATGTATTGCCTTTAGTGACAGTGTTTTGGTGAAGAGGGGAGTGTTCCCCTGTGTGGCCTGGCAGTGACTGGAATGAGAGCAGGCACTGTGCGGATTTCCAATGTGACCACTCTGTGTTTTAGACCATACGAGTCTGCCTGAAGAGGACATGCCAGACAACAGGAGCTGTCAGTGTGAGTTCATGACGGACGATCTCACCCCTGGACTGAAGGTTTCAATCAGAGCCATGTGGTAAGACTTAGACTGAAAAATAAATTCTGTTTTTGAGAGCTGTGTACTCAACTGTGTATCTCAACTGGGAAGTCCATGGTAATTGGTTTGAGCCAAGCCCAGAAAGTTGCAATCTGTCAGTGCGGAGGGAGTTAGGACGTTGATGTCCAAGAGGCTGGCTCAATGGCAAAATGTAATTTCCAGCTGGTGTGTGCCTTAAGCTGTTTTGAAGCCAGGAAATCTGTGCATGCCAACTAGCAATGGAGCCCCTCAGTGTCAGACTGTGATGATGTGGGGAATGAGAGCGCAGTGAGTGTAGCGTTCCCTCTACTGGCTTCATCACAGACCTCTTATTTCCTGGACTAACTTCTGAGCAGCCTCTGACCATCCCTTTCAGCTGAGAAAGGCAGGGCCTGTGACATTAGCCTAGCCCCATTCTTCATCCCATCCCACCCCACCCCACCCCACCCCACCCCACCCCAATTCACAATGCAGCCCCTCTATCATGTCACAGGACCATGACTTGCTGAGCACAGGAACATCTGTCTTTGTTTTGTGACCCATTCCCTTTAGAGAAGGGAGATGCCTCTCTCTTGTTAATGGTACTGGCCTAGTGATCCCATTGGTTAATGGCCCTGAGTCATGGGGTCAAATCCCACTACAGCAGCTAATTAGTAAATCTGGGAGTTGAAAGCTGGCCTCAGTGACAATTACTATTGGTTCTCTAATGTCTTTTAGGGTAGGAAATCTGCCGTCTTTACCTGGTCTGGCCTACATGTGACTCCAGATCCGCAGCAATGCGGTGGACTCTTAATTGCCCTCAGAAATGGCTTAATGGGCATTTAGGGACAGCAACAAATGCTGGCCTTGCCCATCTAAGAATAGATTTTTAAAAAGCTAGCTTAACTGTGGACGAGCAATCTTAGCCTCTTTCAGGTGACTAGCTCCCCCAGTAACATGGACTGGGATATGATAAAGATGTCCCAAGTGTTCTCAAAGAGATGAGGGTGGGAAATTTTACATCAATTTTCCTTGGAGCATTTACATTCTTGATGTTAGGAGGAGAAGGTAGAATCGGGGAGGGTCCCGGGGCTGGTTATTGTTCAGCGACTCAGTACAAGGAGGTTAGTGTTTGATGAATAACACAGACTTTCTCCACTGATTAACGCTGAGGTTCACAGGGTGAAGGCTCAATCATTCCGAGGAGCAGGGGTGGAGGGTGGTGTTACTGGGTGAACCAGGTGGATTGACTCTCTTGCTTTTCTGCCCAATCTTTGCTCTTGTCTGCCAGCTCTAACTGTCAGGAAACTTTCTTTGTAGCATTATGCGATTTCTCGTTTCAAAACGGAAGTTCAAGGAGAGTTTGCGGCCGTACGACGTCATGGATGTCATCGAGCAGTATTCCGCAGGCCACTTGGACATGCTTTCCAGAATCAAAAACCTACAGTCCAGGCAAGCATACACTCTTCCATTAAACTGCAGCCTCTCCCTCACCTCGGCCATGCCCCTCCACTGTGTGTCCGTGACCAACTCCATCCCTGTCTGAATCTGTGAAACACACCCCAACACTACACACTCGTCACATTAAACAGATTTGTGTCCAATCATTACTCGGTGGAATATTTCACTTATCATAGAATCATAGAATCCCTGCAGTGTGGAAGCAGGCCATTCGGCCCATCGGGTCCACACTGACCCTGTGAAGAGCATCCCACCCAGACCCGCCCCTTTACCCAATTGCTGTAACCGTGCATTTCCCACGGCTAATCTACCTAGCCAGCACATCCCTGGACACTATGGGGTAATTTAGCATGGCCAATCCACCCCAAGCTGCATTTCTTTGGACAGTGGGAGCAAAGCAGAGCACCTAAAGGAAATTCACTCTGACACGGGGAGAATGTGCAAACTCCACACAGATAGTCACCCGAGGGTGGAATCAAACCCATCTCCCTGGTGCTGTGAGGCAGCAGTGTTCACCACTCTTTGAGAAAATAATATTTTTGGAATATATGATACTTAAGCTTAAAATCCAGGCCTATACTGAGGGAGTGCTGCACTGTTAGAGGTGCTGTCTTTTGGATAAGGTGTTACATCAAGGACTTGTCTGGCCTCTCGTGAGGAGGTCTCACAGCCACTATCCAAACAATAGCATCGGACGTCTTTCCAATCTCCTGACCAATACTTATCCAGCATCACAAAAACATTATCGCTTTGCTAATTATGGCACTTTTCTGTCAGCAAGCTCACCACCAGATTTTCTACATTCCAATGGCAGCTTTATCTATAAAATGATTTCATTGGTTGTGACTTTCTTTCACACATCCTTAAGTTGTGAAAAGATGCTTTTTAAATCTAGGTCATTTTCTGTGTTGTGTCGTGTGTAACTCACCTGAAAGGCACAGGTGAATTTGATATTATAGTTCCCAAAACCCTCCACCACTGGGCTCTCCTGACCTCATGGCTGAGTCTGCAATAGAGGTTGGGGTCACTGTGATTAGCCATTGTAACAATCTAACCAGAAAAGTAGAAGGCAGATTGGATGGTGCTTATTCTTTTATTGAGTGTGATCCCTACATTCCCACCATTTGTTCATCAAGGCGAGTGAGACTGTACAATGTTTTATGGCCAATGTATTATAACGCGTTTAAGGACCACAGTTTAAGGATTACGGGGTGGGCCATTTAGGACTGAGATAAGGAGAAATATCTTCACCCAGAGAGTTGGGAGCCTGTGGAATTCTCTGCCACAGGACGTGGTTGAGGCTAAATTATTGAATATTTTCCAGAAGCAGTTAGATATATTTCTTATGACTAAAGGGATCTAACAGTCTGGAGAGAAAGCAGGAACAAGGCACTGAGCTGGATGATTAGCCATGATTCTATTGAATGGCAGAGCAGGCTTGAAGGGCTGAATGGCCTGTTCCTATTCCTGTTTTCTTTGTTTCTATGTCATGTACACAGTGCTGTTAAGTACAAAGTAAAAACTTAATTCCTATTGAAATTTCCATGTAGACTTTATCTAGTACATTGATGTAAGATTTTTAATATATTTTTGTTATGAAATTCCATCCTCAAAACAATTAGCTTCAGCTGAACCTAAAGAATGAAATGCTGAAGGGAAAACCTGGTAGATTTCCTACTGCGTCTTTATTAGAAGTTTTGAAAAATGCATATTTTTGAATGAAAATATATTTGTGCCAAAATTATTACTCCTGTCAGAGTATTACCATTTGTGAATATTTATTTTCACATCCTATAAAACAGTTGGGGTTTTTGGTTGTGGTGGAGTAGAGAGAGACAGTGGGCAGTTGGGGGGCTATCACTTTGGCCAGGCCAAGGAGCAGATCCAGGAGGAAATCCTACACCATACCTGGACCCACTCTGCACTGGGTGGCCAAAGACCTGGAGTGTGGGAGTGAAGTGTACCCAAAAGAACAAAAAAGTTACTGAGAAAGTTAAAGAGGGCTGCATCCACCCATAGCCAATGCTCACATAGCCCACGAACTCCACAGCATTGCAGAATAAACAGTTGGGCTGGGAGGCTGGCAACCATCCAAATCTACAATCACATGTGGTTCCCATTGGAAAGAGAGAGGACTCCTTCGCAGACAGCCCTTCACTGGGGACATTTGCCACCCTGCAGTAAAAGAGAATACCAAGGTGTGTCTGGGCAGATGAAGGAGTCGAAGTGGATGATGTGCAGCATCAGCCCTTTCAGGAAACTGCTCCATGCCAGGAGGAACAACATGGAGGGCGTTAGTATGAGGCATCACAGGATGTGGAGTATAGGCTCCCTTTCCCCAGTACTAGTGCCAATTCCCCACGAACCAGAACCCACTTCTCCCAAACCACTCTTTGAATCACACATTCACCTCTCTAATCTATGCCAATTTACACCTGGCACCAGTAGTAATGTACAAATTACAACTATTTTAGCATCTGCATCTTAATTTGACACCTAGGTCCTCAGACTTACTATGTAGAACCTCCTTTGGTACCTACATGGACCATGATGATTGGATCCTTCCCGTCCCATTGCAGGTTCCTCCTAGCTGTGAGCAGATGTTCCAAACCCTGACGTTGGACAGGCAGCCCTCGCTGTTTCGTCTAGACAAGCTGAAAGAACCTCAAGCCATTTAGACAGTTGCAAAGGCTAACACACCCACTCTCTGGGCCCCCCTTTATCTGCTTGACTTGCAGACACACTCTCCTTTCCCTGAACACTGATCAAACCAGGGAGTTCCACCTTAAGAGCTATGACTTGTCTCCCAGTACAAAGAAGCCAGGTAACTTTTCCCCTTTCCCTGATGCATCACCTTACGGGTGTTTCAGCCTGCAGCTCAAGGTTAGAGCTGAAGCTGTTTGTGTTTCGAATGTGCCATAGACGTGTTTACTCAGGACCAACCATGAACTTCTGTGTGCTGCAACCATGACACTCCTGTTCTGCCATCCTTCATGTGTCCTAAGGAACTGCATAATTCTTGTACTCATCTTTCTTAACTTAGAACATAGGAACCTTCCGACCAGCTGCTGAAGTATTTTGATCTTTAGAAATGGAATAAACTTTAGTCACTTGCTGGATACTTACTTCATGAGTAGTTTCTTCTCCTATAGCAGAGAGAAATCAACATGACAAACTTTAAACATACATTTTGATTATTTTTTAAAATTAAGTAAGACTTTAATTGGAGAATCCAATTTCAGGTTCATATTAGCAATATAGGAAAAGAGAAGGCCAATCAGTCCCTCAAACCTGTTTCAATACTCAATGAGCTCAATGTATATTGCTATTTAATAACTTTGGTGAGCAAAGGTCTATCAATGTATAAATGTAAAACCAACAACTGATAGAACATCCTGATAGTGCTCCACACAAAGGTGTCACAGAGGAATGTTTCTTAATTTCACTTCCGAAAGGTCTGGCCCCAAAATTTAGACCATGCTCCCAGATACTCCAAAATTATAGAATTTGTTTCTGCCTTTCCATTTGATTAATTTTCTTTAATATTTTGAAATCTTTGAGCAAATCTCCTTATCACCTTCTAAATTTCAGGTGATGGCCTAATGAATTATTAAGGAAGGGAAATCGTGTCTGACTAATTTATAAGAGTTTTTGAGGATGTCTCAACTAGTGTGGATGGAGGCGAACCAGTAGATGTGTTGTATTGGGACTTCCAGAATGCATTCAACGAGGTACAAAAGATTAAGTCAGATGATAAGAGCCCATGGTATTGGAGGGAGTATATTGGCATTGATAGAGAATTGGCTCATTGGCAGGACACAGCGAGTGGGGTTAAGGCGTTCTTTCTCAGGTTGTTTCTGACCAGTGGGTTCCACAGGGATTAGTGCTGGGACCACAACTGTTTACAGTATATATTAATGACTTGGAGGAAGGAAGTGAATGTACTGGAGCCAAATTTGCAGATAACATAAAAATACGTGGAAAGGCAGGTTGTGAGAGAGATAGAAACAGTTTACAGAGAGAGATTGGTAGAATAAATAAGTGGGCAAAAATTTGGCAGATGAACTATAAATATGACCAGACTACTATTCTGGAGACCCAGGTAATGTTCTGGGGACCTGGTTTCAAATCCCGCCATGGCAGATGAATTCAATAAAAGTCTGGGATTAAGATTGTAATGATGACCATGAAACCATTGCCAATTGTCTGGTTAGTTAGGGAAGGAAATCTATTATCCATACCTGGTCTGGCCTCCATGTGAGTCCAGACCCACAGCAATGTGTTTGACTTTGAACTGCCCTCTGGGCAATTAGGGATGGGCAATAAATACTGACTGTCACACAAGGTGAATGGTTGCTTGGTTAAGCTAACTGATGAGTTCAAATACCCAAGTCCCAACCAGATCAGCATCTTCAGGAGAGGAGGAGGGCTGAACAATAGCAATGAATAGTAATATGGGGTGGCACGGTGGCTCAGTGTTTAGCACTGCTGCCTCACAGCACCAGGGACCTGGGTTCGATCCCAGCCTCGGGCGACTGTCTGTGTGGAGTTTGCACATTCTCCCCATCTGTGTGGGTTTCCTCTGGGTGCTCCGGTTTCCTCCCATCATCCAAAGATGTGCAGGCTAGGTGGATTGGCCAGGCAAAAAATGCCCCACAGTATGCAGGGACGTTTAGTTTAGGTGGGTTAATGGTGGTAAAAATCCCATGCAGGGTGATGTGGTAGGTCTGGGTGAGATGCTCTTCAGAGTTTCAGTGCAGACTCATCGAGTTATACAGCACAGAAACTGACCTTTGGCTCAACTTGTCTGTGCTGACCAAATTTCCCAAACTAAACTTGTCCCACTTGCCTGCATTTGGCCCAAAGCCCTCTAAATCTTTCCTATCTATGCACTTGTCTGAATGTTTTGTAAATGTTGTAATTGTACTCTACCACTTCCTCTCACAGCTCGTTCCATGATTCAATTCAATGGGCTGAATGGCTTGTTTCTGCACTGTAGGGATTCTATGATTCTATGAATACTGCAAATCTGACAAGGCTCCACAGGAGAGTCTGTTGACAGAATGGAGGAGAATGGAACTGGAGCAATTACATTGGAGAGACAGTTGATAATGTGACAGGAGATAGGGAGCAGGAGATGAGTGCATACTAAGTTGACAGGATATGACTGGTGGTGTCCTCTAGAGATCTGTCCTGAGGCCACTCACTGAACGGGTTGGATCAAGCAATATAGATCCATATATCCAAGTTTTCCCAACAATGTTAAGTTCATTGCCACGGTGTTGGGAGGGTAAGCCACAAGGGGGCACATTGATAGTTTCAGTGAGGAGACAGAGCTCTCGCCAATCAGGGTCAATGTGGAGATGTGCAGCGATTTTGGGAATACCGTGGATACCTGCTCCATCTGTTCCTCACTTTGACATGAATGGAAAGCTGCCAGACTTTGAGATTATGACAGAGTACAGCAGTGGGGGCGCTCTGACTGGTAAATATGAAACCGCAGGCTGAGATGTTTATTGGTACAAGGCTCTTGGCAGTTAGTCTTACAATTGACTTTCACCCACACCATTTCCAGAGTTTGCTTGTGAATGGGTCACATCTAGAGCAGGGCAACATTTAGACCCTTAGATTTCTCAGTAACGCATTGACCTTTCGTTGACTTTGATCAAGCCCAGCTGTCGTTGTGGAAGATTTAATAATTTTGCCAAGTTCACAGAAAACTCATCTGACCATTTGTGAAACAGTACAAAGAAATTTTTATGTTCGGACCCTTGTGCAAATTTAGCAGGAAGTGTTGATAGAAACTCTGTCTCACACATATTACTCAGTGCTAGAGAGGCCAGGCTTGCAGTTAACTGTCCCTGTGTCAGAGCTGAGAGTTTCCAAGTCTGAAATCTGTTGATGTATTGCAAGAAGTGAAAAACTAATGTGTAACTTTCAGAAGGCATGTGTTGAGTTGTAGCTGGGAGATTAAGCCCAGGCTCTACCCAACTTCATGTTGCATCAGTGGGATATGTCTCCCTCAACTGTTTATCCTTGGTTTCACATTATCATTCCACAGATTTGATGTCAGCGGGTAAATTGTTTCTGGGGCCTCTGGACACAGCCAGATGTGTCTATGTATGGAATACACTTATTGAACAACAAGCCATGACAGTCAGGTTGGAACTAAACTAGGCTGTCTTACATGACCCTAATACAGAGAACGCTGGAGAAGCTCAGCAGGTTTGGCAGCTTCTGTGCAGAGCAAAACGGAGTTAACATTTCTAGTTTGTGTTCTGATGGAAGATCATACTGGACTCAAATCAATTCCATCTTCTTCCCACAGGTGCCACCACACCTGCTGAGTTTCTCCAGCAACCTCTGGCATTTGGTTCAGATGTCCAGCGTGTGAAGCATTTTGCCTCTATTTTACACGCTGAGGGGCTGACTTATTGACATTTTACAGGTGCTGACTGTTTTGGAAAATAATGGTGAGGTCACAGAAAGGAGTCCTGCTTATGAGATGGATTCTTTCAACAGGACCGTTCCCAGTAATGTTCTCGACACTGTCTGTGTCATTCGATTGATAAATGTACTGCTGTCTTGTAATTCTGTTCTGTGTCCTCACATTGCTTCATTATGCATTTAGCTGGTGTTCTCTTTTATTTCAATCTGCCAGGATAGATATGATTGTGGGTCCCCCACCCCCTTCAACTCCCCGGCATAAGAAGTTAAAGGGAATCCTCACCACTTCCAAAGATTCAATCCAATACTCTCCTAGGTTAGGACTAAACTCGACAGAATGCGTACTTTGTCTCACTCAAGAGTTATTATTTATGCAGCCAACCCCCTTCTTCAGGCACAGATCCATAAAAAAGAACTTAAATTAAAGTTTCTTCAAAAGGATTTGATTCAAGTTCAGGTGAAAATTTACTCAGCACTTCAAGTTATTATCCGAAGGATACAGATGAGAGGGTAAGTGCTAAATAAAGTGGTCGATGAAGGGGTTTAGCTGTCAGTGCTTGTATTGCACTATGTAAACTGGTGAAAGCTTTTTGATTTCCTTTGAATGACTGGGAATGCTTGCGATTCTAATGGCAGGAGATGGGCAAGAAAGCAGCATCTTTTGCGCTTTGGGTTTGAAATTGCTGTTTGTTATTTGCATGGAAGCATGAGACACATGAGGCATGGATACATTCTGAGGCAAAGGGCAACATGAGGTGTGACAGGCTCACTTTCATTCAAATAAAAAACAAACGATGTGGCACACTGTGGCTTTGATTGGGCAAATGGCGGACAACCAAATTTATCATTGAACAGAAACCCAACAAAGACTTTGGACAAGGAAAGCAGCAGAGACCTTCCCTGGTGAGAGAGAAGCAGAGTGCACTATCATTGAGTATGCACCAACTGCACAACCCCGTACCGGGACAGCTTCTCCAGAATGAGGGGCTTCAGCTATTTTCTTGTGAGTCTTAAAGTTCTCACATGAAAAGAAAGTGTTGGAATAAAACTCGATGGGTTAGGCAACATCCATGCAGAGAGAGTTAACAGTTTCAGCAGAGGAATTTTACATTTCCAGAACCCACCGTATTCTGCCTCCAGGTTAGTGTTCAACATTCTCATCCTTACTTTCCGATCCCTTCATAGCTTCCAGCCTATCACAACCTTGTGAGAACTCGGCACTCCTCCAATTTGGCGCTAAGCTCTGGAACTCTGTCTCCAGATTTCTCCCCCTCTCCTCCTTAAAGATATTGCTCAGATTCTACCTATCCTAATATTGCTGTCTTCGGCTCCGTCTCTGTCTAATTCCCGAGAAGCACTTTGAGAGGTTTTACTGCAGCTGAGGCGCTATATCAATGCAAGTTATTTTCTTTCCTATCACAACATTGGTGACTGATATAAAGTTTCTTTTCACTGCAGTAAAATATTCTGAAAACAGAAATGTTCTCAGACACAAAATGACACAAATGGAGGTATTTGGATGGTGACCAAAACCTTGAGCAAAAGGGTAGGCTTTAAGGAGAAATTTAGGGTAGAGAAGGGGCTCAAAGAGGTTTAAATGAGGGAATCCAACAGCATGGGATCTCGGAAGCTAAAGGCACAAATGAAATGAAAAAAAATAGAGTGGAGACTCCAGAGAGTGATTGGAACAATTCAGAAATCTTGTAGGGATGCACAACTGGAAGGATGTTACAGAGAGAGGGAGTGGTGAGGCCAGGGACAGATTGCTGTCCTATCTATTTGTTGATCCAGCTAAAACCATTGACCCCGGTTCTAGCAGGGTGCCCCTAGTCTTACTGCAACATAGCACACTGTGATGGCTTTTTATCTGTCATTGGAAAAGCCTGATTTCTAAATGGATATCTTTTCTTGATTTGCATTTTAGTTCCTCGCCTAATTAGATTTGATTTATTGTCATGCGTATCTAAGTACAGTGAAAAGCTTTGTTCGTGAGCAGTACAGGCAGATCACAGTAATCAATGATCATTAGGGTGAAAAAAGCTTGGACAGAGTAAGACATACAGGTTGCAGCACACAGGATGTATGCAAGGCAGATCCATTTTTCGCGAGAGCAGGATTGAGGCATTTACCCAACCTTCTCACAAATACACACACATCCCTGAAGGTTTGTAGAACCACTGAAAAGAACATTCTCAGCAAGGAGTACCTATTTCCCATTTTAAGCAAAGCCATCGTCTTTCTCTGCATTGATAGATTGTTGGAATTTACATACCACAGCCACCTCTGGGGACCTAGGTTCAAGTCTAGTCCAACCTGTAGAATGAAGGAAACAAAAAATGTGCTGGAGAAACTCAACAGGTCCGACAGCATCTGTGGAGAAAGCAACAAAGTTTGGGTTCAATGTGACTCTTCTATGGAACTCATAGAAGATCTCATTTTACCAGGTTTGGCTCTTAGCTCCTCTGCAAGATGAGCTTATCTATGAACCAGGGAGAGTGGGAGCTGAGTGGATATGTTACAGACAATCTAGAGATCAGTTGATTTGAAGACACGGGTTCAAACTGCTCTGTGGTAGCTAGGAAGCTCAATGCAAATTAACTAAATAAATAAGTCAGGAATAAGGAAAGTAGTCTCATAAATGATAATGCTGAAGCTACCAGATAGTCAGAAAATCCCATCTATTCGCTACCATTTCTTAGGGAAGGATCTCTGCTGCCCTTACCCTGCCTGGGATTCTTTGTGACTCCAGACCCACAGCAATGCAGTCAACTCTGAACAGCCCTCGGGAGTACTCTTGTAAACCACTGAGTGAGGTTCACCACCACCACTTTACCATGGGCAACGACTAATGGCTTTCTCAATGATGCCTACATCCTGCGAAAAATTAAGAAAAAGAAATTGGAACCGAGTTTCTGATTGACCCAACTCCTACCAGGCCACAAAGGCAGCTGGTTTGCAAAATGGAATCTATCAGTCAGGCTATAGTTCTGCAGTTAGTGTGGACGGTCAGCAATTGGCAATAGTAGAGGCAGCTCGAAGCTGCCCCATAATGTCAGTTCCTAGGTTCCCTCATTGGGAAAATGATTCAGCACCGGAACATTGTAACGGTGACAGATGTCCAGCTGCTCTCCATTGGTCCCTCCAACTGAGGATAGATCCTATGACCAGAAGACATGGGAGCAGAACTAGGCCATTCAGCCCATCTAGCCTGTTCCACCATTCAATGAGATCGTGGCTGATCTGATCATTGTCAGCTTCAGTCTTTTGCCTTTCTCCTATAACCTTGGATTCCCTTACTGATTAAAAATCTACCTCAGTCTTGAATATTCTAAATAACCCAATCTCAACAGCTTTCTGCAATAAATAATTCTACTCATTTACTACCTGCTGGGAGAAGAAATTCTTCCTTATCTCTGTCTTAAATAGGTGACTCCTTACCCTGAGACTCTGGTCTAAGGTTTCCCCACCAGGGGAAACAGCCTCCTACACTAACCCTTTCAAGTCCCCTCAGAATCTTCTGTGTTTCAACAAGGTCAACATGCAACTCCAATCAGTGAAGGTCCAACCTCAGAGGACAGGATTTTGGAATTTGTGCACACAAATTGATATTATTCAGTTGCTCTCCCTGATGAGAAATATGATGATGATTCTGGATATAAAACCTTGGCTGGATACACAGTTGATTAAAATTATGATTGCTGGATTCCATGGGTGCCTCCCGATATGAAAAGCATCATTTTCCTCTCTCGGTGATCACCCTCTGCTTGTGTATGGATATCCATTCTGAATCCACACAAACGCCAAGGCACATGATGAGTCCATGGAGTGCCAGCCTTTGCCCAGCTTCAAAACATCACCTTCCTTTTAGAGACACGTGCTGTTCCTTATCGAATCCTCCAACCCCAGCCTTTCATCGCTTTGTGTCTGTATGCAACTTCCATTGCTGTCTCTTGTTGTGAGTCATGTGCACGTTATTGGCATGCCCGATGTAACTGTGTATGGAGCGCATCTCAGTAATGCCTGATTAATAACTGTTGAGTTATATTTTAGAAACTGACTCCACTGTTTCCTCCCCACTCCTCGCCACTTAATGAGAAAAGACAAATTCCAACCCTTCCCTTCCCCAGAAAGAATCTTATGGTACCTTGAGAGAAACTTTCCCCTTGAAGAGTTCTGATCATCTTTGTCCAATGGCCTTGCATTTTCCAATTTGTTGACGCTAACACCTAGACTGACAATCGGGCTGGACTTTGTACGTGAAAGGCAGAGTTACTGTCTACCCTATTACCTCAGGTATCTGTTTACCTTCCATGGTAGAGTTGACCAGATTGTTGGCCGAGGCCCCCAGCTCCAGGAGAAGGACCGCACCAAGATCCCAGCAGAGCCTGAGGTTCCCGAAGACCTGAGTATGATGGGACGTCTTGGGAAAATGGAAAGACAGGTAACGCTTGGTCTTAGGGATCATGGGGAGGTTTTCAATAACACGTTAATGACTTGGGAGCTGAAATGCTGCTCCACAAACCAAACATACGAAAAAACAGGATAACATAAAATTTACAGAATGGTAACGGTCATTTTTTAAAGGATCTAGGCAGCACGGTGGCTCAGTGTTTAGCACTGCTGCCTCACAGCACCAGAGACCTGGGTTCGATACCAGCCTCTTGCAACTGTCTGTGTAGAGTTTGCACATTCTCCCCTTGTCTGCGTGGCTTTCCTTCGGGTGCTCCGGTTTCCTCCCATATTTCAAGGATGTATAGGTTAGGTGGATTGGCCATGCTAAATTGCCCAAAGTGTGTAGGGACATGCAGGCTAGTGGATTAGCCATGGGAAATGCAGGACTACAGGGATAGGGTGGGAGGGATGTTCTTCAGGGAGTCGGTATGGACTGAATTGCCTGCTTGCACACCGTATGGGTTCTATGATTTGGTTACAGTGTGTAGAAATTCCTAAATATTCTAGGAGGACCAAAGAATGATGATCTGCTTGGATCCAGGACATCAAGATTGGCACGTAGGGATTTGGAGAGTGATGCTCCCAGGAGCTATTACGAATTTCTGGCTGAATTTTAACTGAATTAAGGAATTCCTGCTCTGAAAGCGAGAGCGAGTCCTCAGCACTGGCTTGAGATGGTGGGAATATGGGGACAAATTGAGTGGAGATGCCCAATTATGAGGCCATCACTGAGACTACCATCCAATTAAAGGGAGAGGACTGCCTTTCAGAGTTGCAGATTGCCCAATCACTTGGCCAGAAAGTCTGCAGCCTCCTCAGCACCCCAAATGCCAGTTGAGCTGCTGAGGAGGAGCAATAGGAGTCTCTCTATTGAAGTGTCTTAGCAGGCCAGGTGAGCTCTGTGCTGGAATATGGTAGAAATTACACTGACAACCAATCTAACACGATCAGCAAAGATCAAAACGTGGCTCACTTATGGTTTCTACATGTCACGTATATTCAACTGCAGGGGCCAGTCCTGTGAAAGCAAAAGGAATTTGTCCAGACATTGTTCCTTGTTTTAAGTTAAACAGGAGTGTGGGGAAACAATACTGTATTTTCCATGGTAACCCCCATTCAGGGCTGAGTTCCACCCAATTAGTGTTCTTTTGGCATTTAGTATAAATTTTGCTCCCTTTGAAATTTGGCACACTTACAGTGGTCCTGTTGGAAAGTTTGGACAATTTAACACTATTTGCAGCAACACAGAAGCTTTTTTTTAAACGTACTGTATCCAGTTTGGACATGCACGCTGGGAGTGGGGCTGGGAGTGAGGCAAATGCTTCAGCATGTCCTTGGGATAGCAGTTGGGATGAGTGGTCTCTCACTGGGCCATGGAGCAACCAGAGAGGAGGGTACAGTAGGCTCCCGGAAACTGTTGATTGGCACCTGGCTGTAATTGGCAGGTCCATCTCATGTGGCAGGGTCCCCATGCTGCTGATGACAAACATGCCAGTGAGGGTGGGATGGTGTTAATAATTGGCCAGTTAATTGGAATGAATTATGCTGCCACTCTGTTCTTGGGAATACAGCCTGATAGTGGGAGGACACCAGCCCCACACCTCCTGCTGCTGTTTTCTGAGCCACAGCACCTCACAGCTGGTCAATATTTGGCTCTAAACCAACCAAACTTCAATTTTTTTTTTTGGTTAAACCATCCTCAGTCATATCTGTCTAATGAGCCCTGAGGTCCCCTGAGACTAAGGTGACTACCACTACTATATAAAAAATAACTATTAAAACTAGGTTAACTGGACATGATTACACAATGTTCTGGGAGCTGATTGTGTTCAAATTGATTACTGTGTTTCCTACATTGCAAGTGTGGCTAAACTTCATATAGACTTCATTGTCTATAAAGTGGGTGAAAGTCCTGAGGTAGTGTAAGGCACTCCAGAAATGCAAGTTCTGTTTCATGTGCAATTAAAAGGTCCCACCTGGCGTCTGCAATATAGTACAAGTGCTGCCACTCTCAGGCTAGGTACCAGGTATAAAGAGGTGATTGCCATATACCTTCATTGTGCCCGTGTTAGAGATGTAGACCTGGTGGGACTATTAAGTTCTGGTTGCCTGGGAATAGATTCTGGGTGACCCCGGTGGAGCGGCCATGCACCTCCACCCTTTTCAAGATCAAGCTCAATCCCTGTTGGAAGACTCCCAATTCCAAACCTGCAATGATCCTATCCACAACCATGTACAGCTGGGATTCCCTTTACCTGCTCCCACCTGGAATTTCATCCACTTGAATTGGACGTGCAATAGGATCTAGTACAGTCTATTAATTCATCAATGACACAAATTGTTTTCTTGGGGAAATCACCATCATTATTCACTACCATTAGAGAAGTAGTATTAGACAAACTAATGGGGCTAAAGGCAGATACGTCCCCTGGCCCTGATGGCCTCCATCTAGGATCCTAAAAGAAGTAGCTACAGAATTAGTGAACGCGTTGGTTATAATTTTCCAAAAATTGTTGGATTCTGAGGAGGAACCAGAGGTTTGGAAAACTGATAATGTCACATCCCTAATCAAAAACTAGGTAATTACAGGCCAATTAGCCTAACACTTATTGCTGAAAAAGTATTGGAATCAATTATTAAGGAAGTAATAGCAGCATCTTTGGAAAAATGTAATCTAATCAAGCAGAATTAGTATTGCTTCGTGAAAGGGAAATGGTGTCTGATTACTTCATAAGAGATTTTTGAGGATGTCTCAACTAGAGTGGATAGAGGGGAACCAATAGATGTGCTGTATTGAGACTTCCAGAAGGTGTTGAATGAGGTACCTCACAAAAGGTTAAGTGATAAAATAAGAGCCCATGGTGTTGGTGGCAGTATATTAGCATGGATAGAGAATTGGCTCATGGGCAGGAAACAGCAAGTGGGGCTAAGGGGTTCTTTTTCAGGTTGGCTGTGACCAGTGGGTTTTACAGGGATCAGTGCTGGGATCACAACTGTTTACAATATATATTAATGACTTGGAGGAAGGAAGTGAATGTACTGGAGCCAAAATTGCAGATAACACAAAAATACACAGAAAGGCAGGTTTTGAGAGGGATATAAACAGTTTACAGATAGATATTGATAGGTTAAGTAAGTGGGCATAAAGTTGGCAAGTGGTGTATAATGTGGGAAGATGCGAAGTTGTTTATTTTGCCAGGGAGACCAAAACAACAGAATATCATTTAAATTGAGAGTAACTCCAAAAAACTGCCAACACAAAGGGACTGGGTTGGGGAGGGGATGAAGCTTGAGCACAAAACACAGAAAGCTAGCACACAGATGCAGCAGATAATCAGGAATGTTGGCCCTTATTTCAAGGGGTTTGGAGTATTAGAGTAGGGAAGTCTTACTGCAATTGTACAATGTGCTGATGAGACCAGATCTGGAGTACTGTGAGCAGTTTTGGTTCCCTTATTTAAGGAGAGATATCATTCCATTGGAAGCAGTTCAGAGAATGTTTACTAGGATGATCCCTGGTACAGAGGGATTGTCTTTTGAGCAAACGTTAAACAGGTTGGGACTCTACTCCCTGGAATTTAGAAGAATGGGAGGCGATTTCATTGAATCATATAGGATTCTTAAGGGGCTTGACAGAGTAAATACTGAAAGGATGTTTCCCCTCATGGGAGAGTCTAGGACCAAATGGCATAGTTTCAGAATATAGGGATACCAACTTAAGACTGAGATAAGGAGGAATTTCCTCTCTCAGAGGGTTGAGAGTCTTTGCAACTCCTTGCCACAGAGAGCTGTAGGAACAAAATCCTTGTATATACTTAAGGGTGAGAGAGCTAGGTTCTTGATCAGTCAGGGAATGAAGGGTTATGGGGAAAGGACAGGAAAGTGGATGTGAGGAATGTTGGATCAGCCATGATCCTGTTGAATGGTGGTGCAGGATTAAGAGGCTAAAGGGCCTACTGTTGATTCTTCTAGTCTTAAGGTCTTGGGTAAAATTTCTTTGTAAAATAGTTTGTACGTGTTTTTTGTGGATCAAAGTTTTTGCGATCAGGCTCATTCAGCATAACAGCATTCAGGGAAGCTCAACTTAGCCAGGAAACCATTTTGATCTTTGCCATATTTTGAGGTTTCACACTGTGTCTATTGGTGGGTTTTGGATTTGCAATTGTTAAGGTTGATACGCATGGCTCACTTACGGTTAATTTCACAGGCTTGAGGAACGGATTAGTTTCAGAGTGCATTGAAATCAGCAATCTATAAACAACAGGAATGTAATTTTTACCACGGATGGAAAATAGACAATAGCAAATCAGCAATGTGCTTTCCAGGATAACAAGGTGTAGAGCTGGATGAACACAGCCGGCCAAGCAGCATCAGAGGAGCAGGAAAGCTGACGTTTCGGGCCTAGACCTTTCCACTTTGTCCAATTTACTTTGTCATTAACTTTAGTCAGGAAAGAGTTCTTCACTCAGTGGCACCCCAGTAATGAAGGACAAAATTACACTGAGTGAAGGTTTTTCAGTGACCAACTCTTGCTGTGAGAGTCCTATTTGTTGGTGCTTAATGGGAGAATTGGAAACATTTGATTAATGGATTCTGCTCTGCATGGAGCTGTCAACAGTTCCTGTATGAAGTTTGTAAAAGATAGGAGACTACAAGAAAGAGAGGTTCTGCCCAGAGATCATTCTGTTTAAGTTAAAATGGTCCATTGATGTGGGATAACAGTGTGTTCATTGTTTTATTTCATTGTAGAAAGATATATTTTACCAATTGAGGCACATTTGTCATTCACCCATGGAACTTGGGTATCGCTGGCTGGGCCCAGCATTTATTGCCCATCCCTAGTTGCCCCTGGAGTAGGTGGTGGTGAGCTGCCTTCTTGCACTGCTGCAGTCGTGTGCTGTGGGTTGACCCACCATGCCCTTAGGGAGGGAATTCCAGAAATTTGACCCAGCGACAGTGAAGGAACAGTGATATATATCTGAATCAGGGAGGTAAGTGGCTTGAGGGTGTTCGGGTATATTTGTTATTGTTTTACTTCTTGATGGTAGTGGTCGTGGGTTTGGAAGGTGCAGTTTAAGGATCTTTGGTGAATTCTGCCGTGCATCTTGCAGATAGTACACACTGCTGCTACTGAGCGTCGATGATGGAGGGCGTGAATGCTTGTGGATGTGGTGCCAATCAAGCGGGTTGCTTTGTCCTGGATGGGGTCAAGCTTCTTGAGTGTTGTTGGGGCTGCCCCCATCCAGGCAAGTGGGGAGTGTTCCATCACACTCCTGACTTGTAAATTGTAGGTGGTTTGGGGAGTCAGGAGGCGAGTTACTCACTGCAGGATTCCTAGCTTCTTACCTACTGTTGGAGCCTTATTATTTATATGGCGAGTCCAGTTCAGTTTCTGATCCATAGTAAACCCCAGGATGCTGATAGTGGGAAATTCAGTGACAGTGATGCCATGGGATGTCAAGGGGCAGTGTTTAGATTCTCTCTTGTTGGAGAAGGTCATTGCCAGGCATTAGTGTGGCATGAATATCACTTGCTACTTGACAAACATGAATCTGATTATAAATCTGGTCATGTACAAGTGAATAAGATAACTTCAGAATTTGAGCCTCATCCAGAGTTCACTGGAGGTCATGGAGATCTGGTCCAGGTAGTAATTGTCATATTGTTAGATCCCAGGGCATGTGGTCTTTGAGTTGTTATAGTGCAGTGGGAGCCAATTTCCTAAAATTAAAATGTTCACACTGGTTGTATGAGAGATTGAAGCCACTGAACCTGTGATCTACAGAAGATTCACGTGTTTAACATAAACATTAGTCTGTAAATATGAGGCAAAGAAAGGATTGAGGGAGATTAGTGACTTTCTAGATTTGTAGAAAAGAGGACTCAGAGTAGGATTAGCATTAGAAGTCTTTCCAAAGAATAAAGATCAAAGGAATGAAGAGGAAAAGATTACAGAGAAACATATTTTAGGAGTTTGAAAGGAACAGAGTGAATTCAAATGCAGGAAGGCTCTCCATAGCGAAGACACTAAAACAGAGAAAGCCGAAGTTTAATGGGTGAGAAATTGGAGTTTGGCGAAGGAACAGCTTTCCAATAATGAACAAGGTCAGCTGGTCACTCCCTGTGTTTGCCTTTAGTTGTACGTCCCCTGACTGACTTGTAAATGTCAAGGAATCATCAAAAGGAACTTCAATGGAGTACTATAGAACTTTTTCGATTTATGTTTGGATGGGAGCTGGTTAATCAATTGCTAGTTAATATTCTGGTTAGTGGGTAGCTGATCAATGGGCACTTTTTAATGGGTGGCTGGTTACCTGTTTAAGGGAGAGTTGGTAATGGGAGGCCGGGTAATAGATTCTGGTTAATGGTTTGGTGGGCAGTTGGCTATTGGGCATCTGGTTGATGGGAAGCTCATTACTGGTTGTCTAAGGGTCTCCAAAATGGTGATACCAGGTTCTCTGTATGCTGCAGGTCCACTCGATGGAGAAGAAGTTGGATTTCCTGGTGAACATCTACATGCAGCGGATGGGGATCCCACAATCTGAGACTGAGGCCTATTTCATTTCCAAAGAGCCGGACCCAGCTCCCCCGTACCACAGTCCCGTGGACAACCAGGAGCTCTGTGAGAGAAACACAAACACCAACAAGATGTTGCGGTCGTGTAGCCTGACCGCACACAAGACGTACCCTGGACTTGGCATGCCGACGCTGGCTCCAAATGGCTGCCCACCATCAACCTCATCCCACCAACACGCAGCCAATGGCATGAGCCGGCGGAGCCATGACACTCTGACCTTCATGACCTCCCCTGTCGGCGATGGCACGACCTTTGTCAGAATCCCACCCCCACCTTCTGTGTCGCATGAGAAGATCTTGGGACATGGCAGGGGAGGGATGGAATACAGTCGGCAGGATGACTACTGCTGCAAGCGTCAAGAGACTTTGTTGAAGGAAAGAGACAGCGACACCTCCATCTCCATTCCGTCCGTGGATCACGAGGAGTTGGAACGCTCCTACAGCGGCTTCAGCATCTCACAATCAAAGGAGAACCTGGACAACGTCAACAATGCCCCCTACAGTGGGGTTACGCCCTGGTCAAAGGTCAGACTGTACATTGCAGAGGGAGAGTCTGACACAGACTCAGAAGCGTGCACCCCATCTGGTCCTCCCCCCAGGTCAGCAACAAGTGAGGGGGTGCACTGTGACTTCACATGGTCCTCATCCAAATAGATGAGGCCTCCATTCATTTGATGAGCAAAAATGACACTGAGAAAGGGGTTACATTCGCAGTCACTAATGATAACAATACTTAATCTTTCTGACAAACACAACGGCAGGATTGAGGATACAATCGGGGATGTGGGAGTCGGTGGGTGGGAGTTAGTGTGCAGTTGGAAATTGTGAGCGAGGCCATCAGATCTACCAACTGGAAGATGCTGGGTCCACTTAGGTTCTCAATGGACTCCTGAGGTGGCTACCACTGCCATTCCTTGAAACCACTCCCATCAGCCACTCATACCGCATCAGGCAGATGTCGTTCTGAAACTGATGAAGCATTGGCCTGAGGCCCAGAAAGAAACTGAGCCTGGCTCCCATTTGTTCACCATGTCATCAAGCTTGTGACCAATGAATGTATGTTGAACACCTTCCCAGTGTCAGGTGTAGCTGACAAAAAATGAGGGAGAGAGAAAGGGTGACTCCTGGAAAAGGAGAGAACCTTTGGGAAGGTGGGGCGGTGAATAAGCACTGAACAATGCAAGCATTAAAGTGGGCTGTAACAGAAGGAGCAAGAAGCAGGATTATTAAAATGATGGTGTCAGATTATTTATAAATTAGGGAAGGGAGTTGGGCTAGACAAATTCTTGAGGATACAATCAACCCTTGAAGTCATGTGACTGTAGGACATTATTGAGGAAGGCTGTGTTTGGAACAGGGTAAAGCATGTTTTGTTTACTATTACTGCATTCTTAGATATTTTCTAACCAACAACATGCTTAAACATCATTTTGTGTTACCCTAAAATGATTTAGCTGTTTGGGTTGGGTGAGAGGATCTTTCTGGAGTTAGGGGAGCATGTTGGTAGGTGAAAATGGAGGCAGGAAGGCAGTCAGTCCTCTCGTGAGAAGCTTTACCTGACAGTGGCATTGTGTGTATATCCTTCAGGGAATAAACCCTTCCTGTAACATGCTTTCTGAGTTGATCCTGAAGAGTTTTGGTCAGAATCTTACACTTTAACTGATACTCAACAATATGGACGGAAACAAGACAAGACCATTTAGCCTATTGAATCTACCATATCCGTGCACGTTCTCTAGTTCATGGCTTCCCCTCCCCGCCCATAAACTAAGCGGGCCCTCAGTACAAGGAGCACTCAGTTCTTTTTGAGCCATCCTGTTCATATCTTCTAACTCTTAATCCCCCTTTTTCAAACAGATTTGGCCCTCATATTATAGATATAATTTGACTTTGAATCAATCCTCCCTCAGTCTCTTCTCCAGTGCCTTGTTCCCACCGTTTGGGTAGAATATGGCTGAGTTGATGGGTTTGATCCCTCCACAGGCTGGCCATGTGTCTCAAAATTACCTTCATATGTAAGTTAAAATAGGAGAGCACTTGTTGGTCATGTCCGTCCCTGTGTTACCCTGAATGCTGCACTGCCGTATGCCGCAGGGTGCATGCTGCACTGCTGAAGATCTTGGCTGTGGGTATTTAAATCCGGGCCTTGTCCGCACCTTAAGGGAAACCATTTAGGCTTTGGCTGCCTCTGTGTTTAAAGGTTTTGGGTTCGAGTCCCATTGCAGGATCTGAACAAAAACAATTACAGCCTGGCATTTCTGTTCTCTACGATAGGGAGGATTGCTGCATTTTAGCTAAAATATGAAACAGAAGTCTTGTCTGTCCTCACAGGTGGATGTAAAAGACCCCAAAGCATTGTTTTCAGAAGCTGAAGGGGGAGTTCAAGTTGAAGGCCAATATCAATCCTCCCGGTAACTCCGCTGATAAACACATTATTCAATCATTATCATGTTACTGTCTGTGGGAGCTTGCTGTGCACCGGTGTTTCTCACAGGAGTCACTACACTTAAAAAAGGACTCAGTGGCTGTAAAGCAATTTGGCAAACTCTATAGTTCTGACAGGCACTATACAAATGCAAGTTTCATGTTGGAAGGGAAGCTGGTCACCAGGCACACTATTTCTTGTTGGGTTTATTCCTCCAAGTTTCAGTGTATGGCCACTGACCCACAGCACATCCTCAAAGTCAACTGGACTTGAATATACAGGCATTAACCTCAAGTGACTGCACATCAACACTCTCTCCTCTTTTTAGAACTGATAAATGAAAATCTACAACAAGAATGCTCTCTTCATGTCGTCGTGACTTTTCATAGGATCGTGCCATTGTTACAGCAAAAAGGAAGGCCATGTGGCCCATCCAGTCCCTGCTGCTTCCCTCCTCCCCCACCCCTCCGAGGAGCAATACACATACTGCTGCTCCCCTGCCCTCTCCCCATTCCTCCTTATCTGATATTTTGAGGGATTTGCAGTTCAGGAGGAGGCCATTCTTTCTGTCGTGCCTGTGCCAGGCGAGAAACAAGCTACCCTGCCCAATCCCATTTCCCAGCACTATACCCCTTCAGGTTACAGGATGGCAGCTGCATTTCCAGACACCCTTTAAATAAGTTGGAGGTGTGAGCTGAGTTCCAGCAGTGAATACCAAACCCCCTAACACCCTCTGGCTCAGATCTTTGAGTTTAGGAGTTGGGACATCAGGTTGAGATTGTACCGGACTCGGTGAGACCTCTTCTGGAGTACTGTGCCCAGGTCTGGTTGCCCTGTTAAAGGAAGGATATTATTAAGCTGGAGAGCATTCAGAAGAGATTTACCAGGATGTTGCTGGGAATGGAAGTTTTGAGGGAGAGGCTGGGACTTTTTTCACCAGAGTGTAGGAGATTGAGGGCTGACCTTATACAATCATGAGGGGTATAGATAAGGTGATTGGCAGGTGTATTTTCCCTCACGTGGGGAGTTCAAGACTAGGGAGCACATTTTTAAGGTGGGAGGAGAAAGATTTAAAAAAGACATGAGGAGCAACCTTTTTATGCAGAGAGTAGTTCATGTCTGGAGTGAACTTCTAGAGGAAGAGATAGATGTGCATACATTACAATCTTTAAAAGGCATTTGGATAAGTACATGAATAGGAAAGGTTTGAAGGGATTTGTGCCAGGAGCAGGCAGGTGGGATTAGTTTGATTTGGGAATGTGGGTGGCATGGACGGGTTGGACTGAAGGGTCTGTTTCCGTGCTGTATGATTCTGTGACTCTGAGGGAAAAGAAATTCTTCATCTCCCCTCGACTCCATTTTCTCGGCAAATGCCCTTCAATTCCAGGAGACTCCAGGCCGACTGGAAGTTTTCACAAGAACGGAAAAAAGCAGAATACCACTTGGCACAAGTTTCTTTGCTGATATTTGACAGTGAGACATGTCTATCCTGTTTGGTTTGAGGAGCATTGCTGGGCTGACTGCCATGGACGGATACACCTTTGATGCTAACGATGTCAGTCTGGCCTGGCAAAACTCAACCTTTGTGTCACAGCCCACAGGCATAAGGCTGTGTTTTAAAATACCTTCGTGTTACAATGTTGAAGGTAACCATTGATGCATATTCCACCTCTTGCCTTGTTCATCTTCCCACCACTTAGCTGAGTTTATAAACAAATTGAACAGTGCTTTTTGTTGCAGAAGAATGGACAAGAAGACCTCGGGAGAGTGGGTAGGAATGTTAAAGTGATGAAAACATAAGGAATATGATATTGACAGGTTAGAGTGAGTGTCAAAGTGGATAGCAGGTGCAGTATGTTGCAGGGAAATACACAGCTATTCACTTTGATGGGACAATGGGAAAATGGGATACAATTAAAAGGTGAGAAGTGATTAAATGTTGATTGTTGAGGGATTTGTATATCTTTCTATACAAAATTGGGCAACTTAGCTTTCAGGTTCAGCAGGAAAGTCAACATTCTGGGGTTTACCATTGACCTGGAGTGGAACCAGAGAATTGTATGACACAGGAACAGATCCTTCAGCCCATGACGTTGTGCCGAACATGATGCCAAATTGAACTAATCCCTCTGCCTGCCCTTGGTCCGTATTCCTCCATTCCTTACATATTCACATACTTATCTAAAAGTCCCTTAAATACCCACATTGTACCTGCCTCCACCACCACCTCTGGCAGCGTGTTCCACACTGCTACCACTCTCTGTGTAAAAAACTTGCCCCTCACATCTCCTTTGAACTTTTCCCCCTCTCACCTTAAATGCATGCCAACCTAATATTAGACATTTTAGCTCTGGGAAAGAGATTCTGACCGTCAACTCTATCTATACATCTCAATTATACAGACTTCTTTCAAGTCTCCCCTCAGCCTCTGCAACTCCAGAGAAAACAACCTGAGTTTTTTTAGCCTCTCCTTATAGCTCATACCCTCTAATCCAGGGATCATCTGGTAAATCTCTTCTGCGCCCTCTTCAAAGCCTGCACAGTCTTCCTGTAATGTGGTGACCAGGAACTGAACAGAATACGCTAAGTGTAACCTAACCAAAGTCTTATAAAGTTGCTGCATGACATCCTGACCCTTGACCTCAATTCCCTGAGCAGTAAAGGCAAGCATGCCATATGCCTTCCTTAATACCCTAACTACTTGACTGGCCACTTTCAGGGAGCAATGGCCTTGAACCCCCAAGATCTTTCTCTACATCAATGCTGTTCAGACTCCTGCCATTAACTGTATACTTTCCTTTAACATTTAACCTCCTAAAGTGCAGCACCTCACAGTTACCTGGACTAAACTCCATCTGCCATTTCTCCACCTATATCTGCAACTGATCTATATCCCGTTGTATCCTTTGACAACCTTCTACACTATCCATGACTCCAACGATCTGTGTGTCATCTGTAAACTTACTAACCCACCCATCTACATTTTCATTCAAGTCATTTATATATATCACAGACAGCAGAGGCCCCAGTACAGATCCCTGCGGAACACCACTAGTCGTGGACCTCCAGCATGAAAAACACCCTTCCACCACTACCCTCTGCCTTCTTTGAGCAAGCAAATTCTGAATCCAAGCAGGCTAAGTCACTGTGGATCCCATGCATCTTAATCTTCTGGATGAGCCTATCATGAGGGACCTTGTCAAAAGCCTGACTAAAATCCATGTAGACA